GTCTTCTAGTCAGCAGTAGGCTATGAATAGTTAAGTTTTTGTGCAGTCTCAAGTTATAGGTGGACTTTTCAACTGCACCCTTAACCCCTGCATTGTTCAAGGGTCAACTGTATAGAATATCATTGAATTTTGGTAAAACAAAGGTAAAAGAATACCATATACGTATATATACATAAATCTTATGTATGCCTATTTAGGATCGTGTGGTAGGAAACACATCGAATTCCTGACATGAACTGCTTTAGGGGGAGCAGTTCCTGATGTGAGTGGAGGGGGAGAGAGAGGAAGACAGAGAAAGAACATAGCAAAAAACATCACTAAAAGAAAAGCATGCTGTTGATATTATGTGTCTGCATTTATGTAAAAAAAAATTTGTGTGATTATATGTGTAAAGACATCTATTAATCTGTTTATTCATTTATTTACTTTTTGAGACAGGGTCTCGCTCTGTGCCCAGGCTGGAGTGCAATGGCACAATCATAGCTCACTACAACCTCAAACTCCTGGGCTCAAGCAATCCTCATACCTCAATCTCCTGAGTAGCTGGGACTATAGGTATATGTCACCACACCAGCTAATTTTTTAAATTATCTGTAGAGAAGGGTTCTTACCATGTTTCCCAGATGGTCTCAAACTCCTGTCCACAAGTGATTCTCCTGCCTCAGCCTCACAAAGTGCTGAGATTATGGGCATTAGCCACCAGGCCCAGTGTACTCATTTATTTTACAGGCACCTGTAGTACTATGTACCAAGCAATATTCTAAGTGTTTTCAAATAATAAATAAGTTAATCCTCTAACAGCTCTCTGAAGAACATAATGTTAGTATCTGCCTTTTAAAGATCAGGAAAATGAGGCAAAGAAGGGGTTACTCTCAGTTATACAGCTATTAGGCAGCAATTCAGGGATTTAAATCCAGACATTCTGGGTCCAGAGTCTATGCTCTTAACTGTTACTTATGCTCCTCTTTTTAATAAAAAGTATATCGGCTGGGTGTAGTGGCTTACACCTGTAATACTAGCACTTTGGGAGGTTGAGGCAGGAAGATCACTTGAGTCCAGAAGTTTGAGACCAGCCTGAGCAATAGGGAGACCCTATCTCTACAAGAAATAAAAAATACTTAGCTGGGCATGGTGGTGCCTGCCTGTAGTCCTAGATTCTCAGGAGGCTGAGGCAGGAGGATCACTTGAGCCCAGGAGTTTGAGGTTGCAGTGGACTATGATGACTGCACTGTACTCTAGCCCCGGCAACATAACAAGACCTTGTCTCAAAATAAAAATAATAATAAAAAAAAAAAAGCAAATCACTGTACTGCTTAACACCTTCTGATGGCTTGCCATTGAACTTGGAAGATGATTCTAACTCCTGTGATGGTCTTTAAGTCCCTGTGTGATCTGGCCCCTGCCAAACTCTCTATAAACACCCAGCCACACTGACCCTCTGTTCTTTGAGAGGCCTGTTCTGCACCTTGTTCCTGGACTTTTCCTTGGGTGACCTCATGACTGGCTCTGTCACATCCTCCAGATCTCAGTGTGATGTCCTTCCCTTGCTTGAGGGGCCTTCCCTGATCTCTAAGTAGGCCTCCCCTGTACTTCTGTACCATAACAAACCCTTTGTCTTTATAGTACTTAGTGCAACCTATACTTATTTTTGTTGATTATTTGTTTACTGTTTCTCTATTTCCCTTGTAAAGTATGAGCTCCATCGGGGCAGGTGCATTTTAAGTCTTGGCCTCTGTTGTATCTTCAGTACTTAGCATGGTGCTTGGTTTACAGCAGGTGCTCAGAAGCTTTTTTTGAATAAACAAACAAACAAACAAACAAACAAAGGAAAGACAATACTGAAAGGTGAGGAAGAGTTTGGTTCTAGAATCAGATAGACCAGAGTTTGTTTGACTCAATCCTCTGTCCTTGGGAGACTTGTGAAACCTCTGAAAACATGTATTGTCCTCTGTAAAAGGAAGATAATATTATCTACCTCACAGAGTTGTTGTGAGGATTAAATGAGATAAACTACCATGTTGTAACCCCTCAAGGCATCAGAGCTCTTATCACTATGGCCATAGTTATCGTCATTCTCCAGCTGCATGACAGGCCACTGTCCAGCCTGTGGAGTGACAGTCCTTGGATCAGATTTTTATCACTTTTCCAGTCAGCTCAGGCTTGGCAGGGAGGCCTGGGGGGAAACCTTCTAGCTGAGCCTGTGGGCGGGGCTGGCGGGTGACTGTCACGTCCCTAATAGTGCTCAAAGCCAGGAACACTTCTCCTTCTCCCTTGCTTTTTTCTGCTTTTTTCCATCCCCTTCCCATTCTTGGTATTTCTCTTAACACCGCCTGCCTTAAGCCAGTCCTCTGCTTAGCTCCCTTCCTGACACTGGAAAGCATCTTTGGGAGTATAAGGGATTCTGTCCCCTAGGTTGACAGAATTTGCTTAGCAGAGACAGGTATTTGATGCTGCGTCGAGATAGGTTAACCGGACTTCTAAGGAAACATGCCGTGGCTTCACCATGGCACAGAGCTGATAACCTCATGTTTTCTCTTCTTCCTGGGTCACAGGAAGTGATGGCTACTCCACCCTTCCCAGTGGTTGCTGGCAGCAAACACTGATGTGGATCGGTATGTGGGCTATATACAGAAGGCAGATGGAACAGAAAATGCATAAAGGACTTAAAATATTTTCATAAGTGGAAATGCAATGAAAACTGGAAAATAAGAGAGGAAGGGCCTTAGGAGGACTTGATTGCTTTATGTTTATTCAAGGTGAGGGGCAGAAGCTATTGTTTCTCCAGGGATTAGCCGGAGAAGACTTCCTGGAAAAGTACCGAATTATCCAGTTGGCCACGTCTGCCAACTCCTAAAGACTTCCTGCCTCCAACCCTTTTGAACTCACATGTAGTTGTCTGAGCAGATTGTCTTGTCTGTGGTGATGCTGTTGTTTCTTCCAGGAATGGATTTTCTTTCTTTCTTTTTTTTTTTTTTTTTTTGGACACGGGCTCACTCTGTCACCAAGGTCAGAGTACAGTGGCATTATTATAGCTCACTGCAACCTCAAACTAAAGTTATCCTCCTGCTTCAGCCAACTAGAGTGGCTGGGATTACAGGGGCACACCACCACTCCCAGCTAATTTTTCTGTCTTTTGTAGAGATGGGGTCTTGCTCTTGCCTAGGTGGTCTTGAGCTCCTGGCCTCAAGCAATTCTCCCACCTCAGGCTTCCAGGGTGCTAAGGATTATAGGCATGAGTCACCAGGCTGGCCCAGGAATGGCTTTTCTATTCCCTGTTCCCTTAATTAACTTGAGAACTTCTGCTCCCTGTAACTGTTCCAGCACTAACCTCAGTAACCAGCACACTGCCTGACACATTATGGACATTTCATATATGCTTGTCGAATGAAGGATGGATATTCAGAAGTTTCTTGATGCATGTGGAGATTGTAAATAGTGAAAAAGTTAAATGTTAGGTGCATACAAAGGATGTCCTACAATGAGATTGAGTCTTTGGAATTAATTATCCCAAAAGATGACATAAGCTAACAAAGAAAATGTCAAAAGAAAGACTGGACACTTAGAAAAAAATTAGCTAGGTGTAGAAAAAAATTAGCCATGCCTGGTGGTGCAAGCCTGTATTCCCAGCTACTTGGGAGCCTGAGGCAGGAGGATTGCTTGAGCCCAGGAGTTTGAGGTTGCTGTGAGCTAGGCTGATTCCTCGGTACTCTAGCCAGGGCAACAGAGCAAGACTCTGTAGAAAGAAAAGAAGAAAGGAAAGAAATGAAGAAAGAAAGAAACGAAGAAAGGAAAGAAAGGAAGAAAGGAAAGGAGGAAGAAAGAAAGAAAAGGAGAAAGAGAAAGAAATAGAGAGAGGGAAGGAGGGGGGAAAGAAGGAAGAAAAAAGAAAAGAAAGTAAGGAAGAAAGAAAGACAGGACATAGTCTTAGAGGATAGTGACGTCTTGGGTGGCAGAGGAGGGCTTGAGCAGGAAGGGGTTTGAGAGGGCGGATAACTGGAGTTTGTGCTATGCACAGAGAGTCTGGCAGAAGGGAAGTCAGCAGGCACTGACATCTGGCCCTCCCTCTACTAGCTAAGAAGTCAAGCTGTACTTATTCTTCCTCAATGGATAATGTTAAAAGCATTACCTGAAGAAGCTTTTGAGCTCTTCTTATTTGGAAATCTTTAAGAGAAGCACCGATTGTCATCTTTTCTGAGATGGTTTCAGTGAGGCCAAGTTTGAATTTAAGGACATATACTGACCAGTAAATCTCCTATAACCCTGTGTTGTTATCTGATAGGATTTAAAATTTACATGTACTGAATATTCATATATGCAATCAATCTTTGATTATCTCAGGACAGAGTATGTATATTGATTGGGTTAGTGGCCCATCACAATCACTTTTGATTTCAAGCTCTTGTTAAGATAATCACAGACTCTGTTTAATTAATCCTTTTCTAGAAATTATTACTATCAGTGATTATTCCTGCATGAGAGTTAATGCAAAGATCCTTTTCTCATGCAAAGCAGTGTTTCCCCCATCCTATCCTTTCCACTGACTGCTATTTCAAGAAGAAAGTAAATGAGACCTTTATGTATTAGTCTGAGAGGATGCTGTTTATGAGGAGCACATGGTTCAGTGGAAATGAGACAGACTTGGTAGGTGCCACTCCCTTAAATAGTTATTGGGTCCAACTACTATAATATAGGCTAGGTGACCTGGGTTCAAATCCTTGCTCGGTCACTCTTAGTAGCTGTGTGACCTAGGGTGATTAACTATCCCAGTTTGCCCAGGAATGTCCTGGTTTTAGTACTGAAAGTCCTGTGGTCTTGGAACCCCTCAATCCTGGGCAAACTAAGATGATTGATCATCCCAACTAAGTCACTGGCACTTATCTGTAAAATAGGGAAATTGATTCTTTTTTGTATCAGAAGTTTGGTGTGAAGATCAAATGAGATAATGCAAAAGGACTCTATAAATTGTCAACTGCCATATAAACATAACGTATCTACTGTATGTTTTGCTTGCTTGTCCCAGGTACGTGTAGCAAAGGGCTTGGATATAGAAGTGGATTTTCACATTAGAGGTAAGGCAGGTACTGAGGGGTGGAGGGATACTGGACTCATTGGGTTCTAGAATGTTTCCATCTGACTGCAAAGTTTGGTGCCTATGGGGGATGTCAATACTATATCTGAGTCCAGCAAACAAATTGTGAAGAGATCCAAACAAGGTAGCAATGGGTTTCTTGTGTTCACAAGTACAGCTGTCTGCAGGCAGGCACCAGGGCAACAGGTATAGGGCTGAGAGTTTGGGACTCTCTGCAGGAAGGGATTGGCAAGAGCAGTCCCAGTGGTCTAGTGGAGGGATGCGGAGTCCTGGGAGGATACCTCCAACATGAACAGGACCAAAATAGGAATCAAGACAGAGCACTGTGATCAGAATCAGACCCAAGGTTGGGGATAAATCCTTAGCCAAGGTGACTCAAAGTGGAGCTCCACAATGTGGGGCTGAGCTTGAGGCAGGAAGAAGAGTCTGGAAAAGGAATATTGGTTAGGAAAAGTAGACTTTATAACTCTACTGGGGACAGATCTTAGCTGCATGGTTTTACTATCTTCTTACGGTTTGATATTCCAGAAGAGCTAATTACCTACCTACTCCCAAACTCTGTCTTTATATCACTCTTTTTTGTCATCTCATCACCTTTCTGCTTTTTTAAAACAATGATATTCCACACATTTTTTTCAACAAGCACTTACCATGTGCCACATCTTAGGAACATTTAACAAACACCCGCCATGTGCTAGGTCATGAACTCGCATCCCTATGAGGCAGGTATTGTTTCTCCCATTTTATAGATAGGAAAATGAGCTTTGGAGAAGTTAGCTAACATCAATTGGCACAGTAAATCATGGAGTTGGGGTTTGAACTCAGTTCTGCCTTATGCAAAAGCCTGTGGTCATTCCATTCTGGAGCCCGTGTCTCAATTTGAACCCTCAACTATTTAGTTCATGTATCACTCATTCAGTGTATCACCCCTTCCACATCTGGGTTATTTGTTTTTCTTATAAACATGTATTGTCTCCCTCACTTTCCTAATCCACCATGATTATAAACTTCTCATGTTGGCCCAAATCATCATCAGCCCAGAAAGTACCGTGAGTTATAGCCACTCTGCAGACAATTTGTTATGAGTTCATGAAGATAAGGGACTTGGGCCAGAATATAAATCAAATACTTCACTAAGCAGAGTGTTTAGTTCAACTGACCTTTTTTTTCCCCCTAAAGCAAAACTTTTTCGATGAAGCAAGAAGTGCCTTGGGTTTACATTCTGGCACAAGTTTCTTATCTCATAGTAGATCTGTAAAAGCAGTTGGAGGACTGATATTGGTCCAGAAGTTGGCAATGGCCCAAGGACAACACTGGGAGTGACGCTGCTCAACATCCCTTCCCCTTGTCCCTTGCTGCCATCAACTGTGGATTATTGCAAAAGCCTCTCAAACGGTCTCCCTGCTTCCGCTCTTTTCCTCCAATGCAATCTCCACCCTTTTATTGGAGAAATCTTTCTAATCTGCCCTAAATCTGTTTGTGACACTCTCCTGCTTAAAACTCTTCAATGGCTCCCACAGTCTCCAAGATATAAGTCCAAACTCCTTTACGTGGGACCTAAGGCTCTTTGTGACCCTGCTCTGCTTACCCTCGGCAGTTTTATTTCTCTGTCGCTTGTTCCTTGGGTCCCATTTTTACTGAGTTTCACATAGTTCTGCAAATAGGCCACATTCTCAATGTCACAACTTCCTATGTGTTGGTCTGCCAGCCCCTGGCCATGTCTCCCCTCCTATTCGTCTTTGCCCCATCTCAAACACACGCATTCTCTGTCGGGCTAATCTTGTCTGACCCCTTAAACAAGGAACTTCCAAGGTATTTGAGAACAGAGGTGGGATTCAAAGATTTTACTGTTTCAAATTTATGGGTCGCATAGGTGGGGAGGAGCAGGGAAGACGGCGCAGCAGAATGCCCGGACGAGGAGCAGAGTGAGGGAGACCATCTAGAAGGCTGCTGCCCAAGGACATGGTATGGAGACAGGCTTTTCAGCAAAACAGTGCTGGTGCTCACTGGCAATGAATCACAGGTGGAGTGCTGATTTTTGAGCAAAGAGGTAATGCAACAGGATAAACAGAGAGTTCAGTTCCTATAGAAAAACTCTCTTGGGGTGCTTTGGAAGTAGCCAAATGACTTGGAGGACTTGGAAGGATTTCTTGCTTGGGCTGCTAAAGTACTCCTGACTCTGGAGAGTTTCACAGCACTGTTCTGAAGCAAAGGATGGCTACTGCTAGCCGGGGAGAATAGCAGCAGGCTTGGCAAGTTGGAGGAAGCCATCAAATTTTATTCATTCCCTCCTCCCACATTCTGGGAGTTAGGAGGCTGCGGACAGCAAGGATGACAGGGAGATAAGAAATAGTCACCAGCCCAGGGGTGAGAGTCTCTGGTTCTTCTCTTTTATTCATGACAGGCAAGACAGACCCGTGAGTCACAATGTCTCCCTGGCCACTGGTAGTCTCTGATAAGCAAAACCTTCAGTGGGCACAGATTATTCCACTTTTTTCTTAGATATAGTGAAGGGTGTGCCCTTTGCCTACTTCTGACAAGCTAAGATTTATTAAAATCTATAAATTGCCTCCTTCAAATAAACATTATATGAAAGGGTCCTAGTTTCCTAGCAGGTGTTTAGTTTGCAGGCGAGTTGTAGATGGAGATGAGTAGGAGTTTGCCCATTTTGTATTATCCAAATGCTCTATGAAGATTAACTCTTTAATCCTCATTGCATCCTTGTGAGGATTGTTACCCTTATTTTTCAGCCTGAATTGGGACAAAGTGCTGCACAAAAGGGCCTGGCCCAAGGCTACGCAGCTGGTGGATGGAGCAATCAGGGCTTGCGGGCAGCCTCACAGGCAAGCTTTCCTTCTGTGGTGTGGAGATGCCTCGGGCCTCTGACAACGTAGCTGGTATAGCCTGAAGAGAGCTGCTGGAAGCCCCAAGCCCCAGAAAGACAAAAAATCAAGCAAAACACACTGATTGTGAGTGCCAATCACCTAGGCTGTGTGATAACACAGATAGCAGCTGGGTTGAAGTTGGCCTTCCAGAGATCTGTGGCAGTGTGAAACGAAAGTCAAATTAATAGTGCTAATAATATGGTCAGGGAAGGCCTAAGCAACTTGAAGGTGAAGTATATGAAAGGTTACCAAGAGTTGCAGCAACTTTTACACATTGCTTTATATTTGTGCAATGCTTTCCAGTTCTGAAAACACTCTGACATGGACAATTATTTCCTCACAATAGTTCTTTGAAGTAAATAGGTAGACAAGGGTTGAATTTTGTACCCCACCAAATTCGTATGTATGTTCAAGATCTAACTCCCAGTACTTCGAAATGTGACTGTATTTGGAGACAGGGCCTTTGAAAAGATGAATAAATGAAAATGAGGCCCTCACAAGTGGGTCCTAATTCAGTCTGACTGGTTCCTACAAGAAGAGGAAATTAGGACCCACAAAGAGAGGCACTGGGGCACAAACACATAGAGGAAAGACCAGGTGAGGACACAGCAAGAAAGTGGCCACCTGCAAGCCAAAGACAGAGGCCACAGGAGAAACCAAACCTGCCAACATCTTGATCTTGGGCTTCCAGTTTCCAGGACTATGAGGAAATAAAATTCTGTTGTTTAAACCACCTTCTCTGTAGTCTTTTGTTACGGCAGCTATAGCAAACTAATACACTAGACTATTTTGGAACATCTTTCAACATTTTAGAAGTACTTATTTCTAACCAGAAAACATTAGCTACATAACTTTCATATTGTCTCATTAATAATAATAATTATAATACTAAAGACAACAAGCTGCAGTGCCTGTAGTCCCAGCTACCAGGGAGGCTGAGGTGGAAGGATTGCTTGAGTCCTGGAGTTTGAGGCTGCAGTGAGCTATAATCATGCCACTGCACTCCAGCGTGGGTGACAGAGAGAGACCCTGTCCCTGAAAAATAAAAAAAAGATGGTTCACTCTTAGTGAGCCTTCACCATGTGCCAGACACTGCTGTAAATGTCTTACTTCACTTGAGCCTCATAAAGCCCCTCCAAATAAATAAGTGGGAGAAAAGAAACAGCTCTTCCTTACAGCAGAATTCAAATTAGTAAGTGTGTATGGAATGAGAAAAACACAAGATTGCCTTTGGGCAAACACTGTAGGAATAACAGTCGTTGGCAAGCAGCATCGATGGACAATAAAATTAGTTGGTGCAAGTATGAGAAATAGGATATTTGTACAGTCTCAAAGTATCTCCCTGCAAGATACTTATTAATTACAATGGGGAAAATAGTAACTTTATAGTGGAGAAACCCAGCATATACCACCTTAACTAAGTAGTCAAGGTTAACCTCACGAATAAGAAGACATATCAACATCATGTACCCCCAGATGGGATGCACTGAGAAGGGCACACATCACATCTGGGCTGTTCTTGCCCAGAATGCATACTCTCAATCTACTCATGAGAAAACGTTAGGGATGTTTTGAAAATAACCAGCCTGGACCAAATATATAGGTGATTGAAGAAGATGAAGACATGATAGCTAAATGCCATATGGCATCCTCAACTGGATCCTGGACCAGAAAAAAGAAATCAGTAGGAAAACTGGTTAAATTCAAACAAGGTCTATAGATTTAGTTAATAGTATTTCATCAATGTAAATTTCCTGGTTTTGATAATTGTACTATTAATATATTTATGTAAGATATTATCATTAGGGGAAGCTGGGTGAAGTATACAGAAATTGTACAATTTTTTGCAACTTTAGTGTAAGTCTAAAGTTATTTCAAAGTAGAATTTTTTTTTAAATAAAAAAACCTTCCTGTTCCACAGGTATAAAATTTCAGTTATGCAGGATGAGTAAGTTCTAGCGATCTGCTGTCCAACATTGTGATTCTAATTTATAGTACTGTATTGTGCGCTTACAGATTTTTCAAGAAGTTAGACTTCATGTTAAGTGTTCTTACCACAGTAAAAAACAGACAAAGACCTTCTGAACTAGTTGCTATTATTATCTTAATATCAGATCCATTGACTTAGTCAGGGTCACTCAGCTTGGTAAGGGTGGAGAAATGACATGCACCCAGGCTGACTTAGTACTTCTAGGAGACCATGGAGCTTTGAGCTTAGTTTTCCTTGTCATATACTTATGTCAGTAAATTATATTTCTTTAGTGATGCTCCTTAACAGACTTTTTCTAAGCCATCCTGCCTCCCATAGTCCACACAAAGGAGGTGTTGGCAGAGATTTTTGAGCTGGAAGAAATATAAGCATGGGTAGGACACCGTACTAGAAACCATTAGACACACACAAAGAAATAGCGGACTTCTTTGCTTCCCTTAGGAACTTATAAAGAGCTGAGACAGATGAAAGATAGCTCACAATATGGAGCGGAAAATAAACACCAATTAAATAGTAGAGGCTCTGTGTACCATGGGAGGTTAGAGGAGAGAGACAATGCACTTCAGCAGGTATAATTGAGGGAGGTGGAGGTGACATTTGATCTGGGCCAAAAAAAAATAAAAAGGGAAACCATGGGGAAGGACGTTGTAGATGGAGAGTGACTTGGGAAAAGATAAATGGAGGTGGAAAAGTGCAAAAGAGTTGACTACACTAGCTAGGCTGAAATGCAGTCATTGTGTATTTGAGAAGGTATGTTAGCAGGGATCCCAATCTCAAATACCTTTGGGGGGCTGTGCAAATTTGTGCCTCATAGAATAAGACATTAAAGAGCGGTGAGAGTTCTGGCAAACTAGAGATGGCCTTCCCCACCGAAAGGATTTTAGATTAAAACCAAACCAAACCAAACACTACGCTAGGCAAACACATTGCTATTGACCAGCTTCTGCACAGGGCTGCTGATTTGAGCCTACTTTTGGACACAAGATAAAACATTCTTGGCTGTGATAATACAATTGAGGACACAGCTTATCAAGAGACTGAATAATTATTTGGATTTTTGTACTAAGGCTGTGTAGTCAGGGGGCCAGTTGTGTGATATAAACTCATTGTTTCACTTTCTGAGAGCTCCAGGCCTGAGTGGCTTTTCTGTTGTTTGGTCATTACTGCCACCTAGTGGTCACTGGGGCTGTGCCAGCACCAAAACCATCTTAGGCAGTTGCTTTCTATATATGGAACTTTCGTCTTGCAAATGTTTGTCTAGTGACTCATGCCACAAAATGCTCAAATAAGCCACATAATCCTTTTAATGATGCAGTTGTTAACAGCTCAACTTTTCACAAATGGTTGTTATTATCATATAATTAATACTGTGATCGCGAGGCTTATGTTTATTTAGTTGGTGTCTGGTCAATAAATTTTCTCAGCTACAGATGTGTGTAGTAGTGGCATCCGCTTGGCATAGCTACAGAAGTTCATCACGTATCTGAAATGCTGTGCTGAAGGGATTAAACATTTGAGAGGGCATGGAAAAAAACACTGGAGAAAGAATCAGACTTTTATTTGTGTAACTTTGAGCAAGTCACTCGGCCTCTCTATGAATCAATTCTGGCTGCTAAAAAATGTGGGGTTGAAACTGGTTCAGTGGTTCCCCACCAGATCCCATGTCGGGGGTGGCTCTGAGGAATTTCATGGGCTTAGAAACCTCAATGGGTCTTTGGGTGTGAGTTCCCCTAACACCCAAAGTGTGGCAAAGGAAGTGTGGCAAAAGAAGTGGCAAAGGAAGGTCCAGCCCTCTCCAGCTAAGAACAATTCCACTACAAAAAATTACTTTAAAGCCTGGCACAGTGGTGTGCTCCTGGAGTCCCAGCTCCTTAGGAGGCTAAGGTGGGAGGATCGCTTGAGGTCGGGAGTTTGAGGCTGCAGTGAGCTATAATCACACCTGTGAACAGCCACTGCACCCTAGCCTGGGCAATATATCAAGACCCCACCTGTAAAAAAATTTTTTTAAGTTAATTTAAATAGTTTTATTTTTGAATAGGTGATCCATGCACATGATTCAAAATTCAAGAGGTAGAAAAGAGCATACAGCAAAAAGTCTCCTTATTAATCAATCTGTCCCCAGTTTCTCACCCTAGAGGAAATCAGTGTCACAATGTCTTGTCTATCTTTTCTAGGGATAACCCCTCATATTGCCCCACCTCCTTTCTTTTATTAATACAGATAACAGTATATTATACATACTGTTCTATAGTGCTTCTTTTTCATGTATCTATATATTAGAGTTTTATGTAAAATTTCACTTATACTTTGTTATGTACATATTATATATATATATATATATATAATTTGACTAGATGGTCTATACATCTTTTTTGCAAGGCCATTGACAAACTCACATTTTTAACTGATATAAAATGAGTGATTTATAGACTTGTAGCTCTGCAGAGACAAAAACCATTTGAGCTTACTCTGGGTATCAGACTTCTGAGGAACAGGAAGACAGTGAGCACTAGGAGAAGGCCTCTTGCACCATTTTCAGCTGTAAGGCTGGGCTGGCCACTGTTAACCATGATCCACAATGATGGTCCACAGTCAACAAAGCATGGTGGCGATGGTGGGGCACAGCAATGACACTGCCCAGGCACAGGGCTGGGCATATCCACAGCAGCAAACGAATGTGAAGGTCTGGGAAGGACATCGCAAGGAGGTGAGGACCAGTTACTTTAGAAACCTTGTTAAATTTTAAGCAAACTGGAAATGGACTCCTCATTCCATAGATCCTCTATTAGGTTTTTTTTTTTCTTCCTTTAGACAGGATTGGATTTCTTTTAAACCAGGGACTCTCAGCCCTAATTGCATATTTGAATCATCTGGGAGCTTCTGGAAACTCCTGCAGTCAGGGCCTCATCTGCAGGGATTCTGATTTAATTTTTCTTGGGGCAAGGCCCAGTGCCTGATATTTTGGAAAGCTCCATAGATGATTCTAGGGCCCTCCAGGTGACAACAGAGCTGTAGACTCTGAGAGACTGGCCAGTGATGCAGTTCCTGCCTCCTCCAATGGGTGGTTGTCTCTGGGCAAATGGCCAGATTCCTTCTCCACCTCCTTCCTATAAATTTCCTTTCTATCCCTCTTTCTATTGCGTTATCAGTATCTGTCTTGGGCAGTTGCTTGCTTTGAGCTTATCAGTTTCCTGAGCATATTAAATCCCTTAAGGTAGTCAGGGCTGGAAACTATTAACTCCTACCCTTTCTGGTTCCCCTCAGATTTAGCTACAGAAGATGTCACCTGAGTGCTGTGGACCCCAAGTTCTAGATCAGTGGTTCTCAGACCAGCAGCATTAGGTGGTACCCCTTGGAAGTCCCTGGAAAATAAAATTCTCAGCCCCTCCAAGATCTAGTTTCTGAATCAGAAACTTGGTAGTTTTGGACGACAAGCTGGTGGCATTCAGGTTGTGCTTCCATGGATACTCTATCTTGCGCCCTTGGAATGCATCTTTGGCACCCAGAGGCTGAGCAAGCTGCAGTCTTCCTCTAACGTCCCATCATTTCCATCCTGCCTTGGTGCTGGAGAATAAACTGGGTTTCTTTCTCAGTTTCTCAGCCTTGCACCTCAGGACTCCACTGTG